TTGGTTTCTCCTTCAACGTTACGCTTAGGAACGTGGACTGGGCTTGGATCTATCCCCTCGTTTTGACCATTAACATCGTTCATGTTTTCATCTGAAAAAAAAGAACTCGTCAGGATCTTTCATATAATATGAATAATAAAAAAAAAATTATTTACGATCTTTAACATACCAAGAATGAGAGATAAATTATCATTGCCAATTACAGCTCGATCTCCCGTAGCCGAGTCATTTCCAAAGATAGCATTCATATCATTATAATAAGGACATAGTTTGGTCCTCCAAATTCCGAATACTGGTTCTTCCTAGAAAGGAAAAAAGAGTGGAATATGTGTTATGCATAGTCAATGTCAAAAGATACTGTACTAATATTAAATGCCTAATAATTTTGTTGGTTGATGACATATTGTACCTTCAAAAACTCTCCCAAGCTAGAACATCAGCTGTGGCACGTCCAGTGTCAGGATCTAACCCAAAATCACTCATACTCAACAATTGCGAACTTCGAAAAATTCTTTTTTAAAGTCTTCAATCGCACCCTCGCATTCTTATCTGAGACCATGACTCAACATCTGTTATGCACGCTCTCAATTGCTTTGGAAACGTGAAATGATGAAAACCCATTGTCATTCCTTTTGTGACCAACCAACTCCTGATGTAAAAGTGTAGTTATCATACAACTGTCCATTGCATCACTCCAACGCACGTGACGATTCCTCGAATTGGGATCCACTTGGGTTGAGCTTATTTCCTCCACATCTGAATTGATGGTTGGTCTAGGAACTCGAAACGGTGTCGTAGTGTTTTGTCGATTATGTGCTATGAAATCTGTATGGTAAGATTAAAAGTTTATGGTTGACTATTAAATACAAACAGGTAAAAATAATGTATGTCAACAATTTGAAACGAATAAGATCAAATCCAATTACAACATTTAAAACTCTAGCAACCTTATGTTAAACATTACACAAGGACGTGAAAAAAACTGTCTAATATCAGTACATCTTTATTCTTAGCAATAGCTAAATATGAAAGTGTGTCAAGTTTAGTTCCATTACATAGAAACATAAATAAATAAATAAAATATTAGACTTCAATCGAAATCAACTGCTACATCTAGCTGATTAGGACGATAATCAGCCCACATTAACACAGCAATTGTATTCCTTTTATTAGACCATGCTTCTGGAGATGTGAAAGATATGTGAGCATTTGGAGTTTCATCTTTAGGTACATCAACAGTGTGTAAGGTTAACCTCGTCATCGCTACTAACTAAGTCCTCTTCACAAATATCTTCTATGTCATCAATCCTTAAGAAGTTGTGGATGGCAGAATAAGCAAGGACTATCTTTGCTTCTGTGTCAATGTCGTGGTAGGGTTGATTTCTCAAATATGCAAATCTTTTTTTCAGCAAACCAATTGTCCTCTCAATGACATTACGTAGAGATGAATGTCGAAAATTGAATAACTCCTTGCTACTTTCAAGACGTTGACCCTCAATGTCTCTACAATGATAACGAGTCCCATAGTATGGCGTAAGAAATCACAAAACCAATGGGAAACTGACATCGACAAGATAATATTTACCTGTTACAGTTATTATTACGTAGTAATTATTTAATTATTATAACTTGTATGTGTAAGATTTTCTTTTTCAAATTAGTAATACGACTTACCAAAAGGAATTGCTAGCTTATGCCCTTGGCATAATATTGCACTCTTTAACAATCGACCATCATGTGCTGATCCCTCCCAATCGACAAGCACATATGTAAATTTCATATCAAATGTGCAAACTATCAAAACATTTTGAGGAATTACTTGCTTTCTATTGTTATACCTAGCTTGCTCGTCTAAAGAGACGTTCGCAGTAATGTGTGTACCATCTATTGCCCCGACAACATCCTTTAAAAAAGAATAATTTTCAAAATATTATAACATTGAAGTTCTAAGATATAATGAAATAACCACAAACCTTGAATCTGAAAAAATGAGCACCATGGCTTCAAATTTTCCTTCTCGTATGGAGAGTTATGAGAAGTGGCATTAATCACAACATCTCTATACGGTCTAAGACACGCATTAAGACTATGTGGAAGTAAAAACTCACTATTTGACTAGATCGAAAAAAAGTAAAGTCCAGCTCGATTACGTTGGTCTTGCCCGACGGTGTTTAGAAAAATAGCCACTTGTTCCTCAATTCGGACAAACTTACTATCAAACAACCTATAAGTTCGCAAATGAGCACACAATCTTTGAAATGGACCTATTTTCATCCAAGGTGAATGACGACATATCGTATCACTCGTACCAAACATTCATGTAAGTGTCATCTCCCTTTCTGAATCCCAATTAGTGAGAGGAGCTCTAGGAAGATATTGTTCCCGATGCCTAATATCATTATATATCACAATTACTTGTATGACCATAATTTAAAATAAACCTAAATGTTGTCGTTCGCATTAACGTTGATTCCTTGTTGTAGCCATATTACGAACTATCACGTGAAATAAAATTTACATATATATTACGTATTATATTTATACAAGATGAATAATATATTTAGTCATTTGGAATAATATTGATACAATCTCAGTTACTACCAAAGAAATAATTCTGAAACATTATTCAGGGAAATAAAAAACCTGATAGATTTAGAATGGAGTCTGCATGCATCTTTTAAGTATTCTTATATTAGAAGGTTGAAGAAAATAGTAAAGGCAATCAAGGCAGGTGAGGAAAAATCTATTTGTAGCTGAAGAGGAACTTAAAACTGCATTTTAAAGTGGAAGGTTCAATCCCTATGACTACTCACAGTTGTGGACAAATTACAAAATAATTTTGATGGCACGTCAATCTCTATATAAAAACATGGTATTTGCAAGTAATAACCCTAAAAATTATTAGTCATGTCCTCAGCCAACATAGGATATGAGCATTATGGTTAAACTTGAAATTGATATTCTAATTCTTGATCTAACTAAATTAATAGCCCTTAACATAATATACAGATAAACCCATTTCTTGGTTATCTTGAACCACCATAAAAAGGGCTGAAACATTATATCATCTCATACCCATCACAGACATCAAGGAATGAATTGAGAAAGATAAAGTACAGAACACTGAACATGTTTGTCTCTTTTGCCATTCCTTTCGTGTGAAATATTTCTGGAAAACTGTCAAACCCCATTTCTATCATTTTGAAAATAAAGGCAGAGTGTGACTATAAGATTCTAGAAATCTATTCATGGTAAAGCATAGAAATTAGTACAGTCGGATCAATAAGTACTTTGTTGAACTATTGGATTCCACATCAATATATATTACATGGCCATCTAAGTCTCCATAGGTAGATGGCAAGGAAGCTAGTAATGCAAGCATCAAGCAAAACTATATGTCAAAAGAGTAAAAGTGAATCAGCACAACAGATAAGAAACCTCGTCACCACACCGAGGACACGCGAGGGACAAAGTGATACAGAACACGAGTACAGAAGTCAAATTCTACAATTAATTGATTCCAAACATATTTTTATGCTTCAAAACGAATTACAAGTCATTTTTGATAATTTGGCAAAATCAATGGTATTTGCACAGCCTGTTGGCAACTTACATATTTAGGAGGAATAACTTTGAAAATAATGGCATCAAAAATGTAATCACAAACCATATTTAAGTTATTGAGACACAAAACTAACACATATCCAAGGATGAAAATTAATATACAACTATAACGGGTGCTGTAAATCACAAACCATCAATTTTTAGGAAAATAATTGAGCACATTCAACATCAAACTGAACCAGAGTAAACATTTTACACAATTAATATGTAGATTATGATCCAATAAACTTATTTATGGGGAAAAATACATAAAAGACATTCACACTGAACAACATACTGCAATTTTTTAAAATGTTGTGAAACAAACTATAATTGACACAATCAAAGGCGCAGTGTCGACCTTTTGCAGTGAATAGGGTGGATATGGAAGTAGTGATTCGATCGGGTACTTGATTTTTCTTCCTTCTTCCTAGTTTGTTTGTGTGACGATTTGGTTTCGTCTTCTTTCTTTCCGGTTTTTTCTTCCGTCTTTCTGGGTTGGGTATATTGTGCGATGAGAGAGGATTTTGTACATGGGAAATGGGAGAGAACGAGATTAAATACGTGAGTAGGTGGAAGACTTGATAAAATGGAATTTTTGGAAAGTTTGAATTCCATGGAAAATAAAATTCTACTCTACTCAAAGAAAATATTTTTCTTGTTTTCTAGGAAAATCTGATCACATGACTAAAAGTGGAAAAATATTTTTCATGAAAAAAATATCAATCAAACAACACAAAAATGAGAATTTAGGTGGGAAAAAGACATTTTCCAATGAAAATATTGGCAATCAAACGCATTCTAAAAGAAAATTTGAAAACTCAAACTAAAATTCCACTTTAACGAAGAGCATGCATATTTTAATCATCCTTTTTTTTTTTTTTTGGTGGCTCTTACATTTTACATAAATTTTCCTAGAGAAATAATGGACTTTATCTTGCTAATTAGGCCCTAAAACTACTCTTTGGGCCAATGAAATTATGAGAAAAGATCAATACGACTCTCCATTATTTATTGGAAAAATTACCTAGAAA